CGCCCCGGATAAACTGGATTTAATATAACACAAACAGCCAATATGTAGGACACTTTAGAAGGGTCTCACACATAAAAAACAAAGTTAACCAGTTCTTACTGTAGTCAGTGACAGTAATTAAATTTTATTAGTTTAACAGTTTAGAGCTTTCTTGTTTTTTAACTAAGCTTACGTCTTTGTCTTGTAAGCCTCAACTCTATGTTCCTACTTGAAGATTGACTTGTAACTTAATTGCACCTGATACCCATGAATTAACACATAAATCATTTGTTAACTATGTGTAGTAGAAAGTTAAACATTCTAATTGAATTACAGACTTAAGTACTTAAGTTAGCATGTTTAATTGCAAAGCTTTTAACACATAGTTAATCCCAATTCATCGTATAACAGTGTAAATACAGTTGTTTATATAGAAAAAGTTGCAATAAAATAAAACATAACTGTATTTAACAACTTTGTTGAATTAAACAGCGGACGTCACTTTCTAAATCAATTTTCTGTTATATGTCATTAAAAAAATCCGATAAGTAAACATAAGTAAAGTTGTGCTTAGACGTCTTCAATTAAGTTGTCGATTAAGCTCAGAATCGAGTTGGATAGGTGTCCGGCGGCACAGATAACGAATGGTACGGTTAAACAACCTGTTGCCCGATGCGATGCGCCTGCGCATGCTTTTCGACTAACTAACTGTACTGGATACCGCCGGTAAACGGTACAACGCTAGTATTGCTTTTTTATTTACCATCATGGGGATTAAGTCTAGTTACTCGGCGTTTTTTTATTTGTCTAGTTCCACTCGTCGATTTTAGTATAAAAAATTAAACAAGAATTTTATTTAGATTTCATCACAGCATTAGGAAGACAAAGACATCTTATCATCGCATGTCAAGCAAAAACCTTTTGAAGACGACTCCGTCTGACTGGAATTTAAAAAAAAACATAAGTAAGTAGCTTATATATTGTTCTAGACTACTTCTTCTCTACATCTATGCCAAAGGGCATCAGATCCTTTTAGCAGTTAGGCGACAAACTCCAAAAAACTATTCATCCATTCATCTAGGCTTTCGTATTTATAACATTAGTAAGGTAATTTGAAAGTAAAATCCTTTAATTTACAAGAATCGTCTCAACGGTGTGATATTTTAAATTTTATGCGACAAGTTTTACGATGCCCTTAAAATAAGTAAAGCTAATGCTATCATTTCGTTTCGTTGCAGTTCGCTTCGCTCGCCTTTCTAAAAGCTCCGTACAACTGGACCAGTTCATCTGCTGCCCTAATTTTATAGTGCAATGACAACCTTAAGCTTCCTACATACAGAGTTCAGGATTTAATGAACAGTAAATAAATGCAACAGTTATTGAGTTTTCTTAAGTCATAATTTGGCATTAACTTATATTCTGCTTTATCTTATTTTAGGGATGGTACAAATTTCTTGTAATACGTAGTCCGTAGAGTAAGGCACTAATAAAGCTTTCAACAATCTTGACGCCATTTGATAGGGTGGCATTATTTATCTGGCGTAATAGCGGTCTTTAAAAAAATTACAAGTATTAAGATCGCCCTCAATTGACCAAATTTTACTTAGATTTGAACTGCCTTCATGTTATTATTAACTATATAAAAATGTTTTATTTTGTGTACTGTTTACTTGTCCAATAGTTTGTGAACGACCTAACGCTACTCACAAGTTGGCGAAAGTCAGTCTGACCCAATATGCTAATCATTCTTAGAAACATCTAGTCATGGCTAAGGTCACTTACTGCAGAACTATTCAAATATCTTATTAACTCTACTATTTCTTTATACTTTATATGTAGATAATTTGTTGTCGAAATACAAACATCATCTGCTGGAAGAGTTCTTAAATATTTGTTTACTAGCTTTCGCCCGCGACTCCGTCCGCGTGGTATAAAAAAAATTCAAAACCAAGTAGCCTTTGTATTCTTCCAGATTATCCTCTACATGTATGCCAAATTTCATTGAGATCCGTCCAGCCATACAGGCTACAAACTCTAACAAACATCCATCCATCTAAACTTTCACATTTATAATATTAGTAAGATTAGTAAGATTTATTTTTGAAACAATCAAACTGGCAATTACTAAAAATACTAATTCATTATTCCTCTTATGACTAGTATGATCAAAATAAAACAACACTGTAAAAAAGTAAATTTATTATACATATCAAATATCCTGTTTATTGATATAAAAAAAAAAGTTGAAAACTCATTTCTTTAAACATTATTCTCTTGTTCTACAAAGAGTTTTCTATACCTTTTTTCAGTAAACGATACGGCTTAATATTCTCGTTGATAGTAAGGAATAAATCCTTTTAATAAAAACTATTAAAGTTAAGTCACTTAAAATTATAATTAAACAGTAACAAAACTAATTTATCTTACATCAAAAAAGTAGAAACAGTAAAACTTTCGATTAACCAAATGAAACAGATTTAAATTTCGTGCCAAACTTTTTCATAACACTTAGCACTATAGTAATTTAAAAACAAAAATTTGCACACACTGAATAAACGCACACAAAGTAACTAAGTAAAAAGATAATAATATCATATAATTCTTAATTACTCACAAGTAATTCAAGGCACTTAGGAAGACAAGAATACATTTACAACACCAACACGGAAAATATTCATAATAAAATCACAAAAATATCATTTCCAAATGTATCTGTTAACTGTCTTTTAGTAAATAAATTTCAATAAACACCAAGTATTAAATAAATCAAACAAAAACTAAGAAACAATGAGAATTCAGTCTTGAAGTAAATACCAACAATAATCACGAAACTGCTTAGAGACAATTCTTAAAATAGACAAGGCACTTAATCTTTGCTTCTTGCAGAATCTGCAGCAAAAGAAAGAAATAATAATCATTAATTAAACAACTAGATATCGCCTGCGACTCCGTCTACATGGAAAAAAAACAGCAGATGTCCTCTGTGTTCTTCCAGACTATCATTCAATTCTATACCAAATTTCATCAAAATCCGTTAAGCAATTTAGGCGACAAACTCTAACAAACATCCATCCATTTTAACTTTCACATTAAAATATTAGTAAGATAAATAAATCCTTAATCTAATTTGCATCACTGGCTGAGGTTTCGGTGAACTCTGCTGATATAAGTTTGAGTATGTGATCGTAGAAACCGTCTTCGTATCGCAGACGGTAAAGCGAAGCATCGAGGTAGCGCTGCACGGCGAGCGCGCACGCCGCCGCCCCCACACCTGCCCCCGCCCCCGTCACGCCCACATTGGCCCCCGATGCCACCCCCGCCCCCGTCCCCGCCACGCACAGGTCCCGCGAAGCTGCACACAGTGTCAGCGCTTGACGCCACACGCGAGAACTCACTGACAACACAAATATATTGGTTACATTGACTGAATAACCTAATGGCCGGTTTCCCAGCTAAATTTAACCATTCGATACTATTTTAGTTCGATAACTTGAAACGAAATGCATATCAGAACAGAACTATGTAACTTGAGTTTTACTCCGTTGAAAATTGGTTCAAGATAACAATTATGAATCACTAAATAATCACGATATAAATGCAAACTTCAGCAACTCAACATAAGTGTTTTTTAAACTACTGTTTTCTTCCCATGTTTAGAGAAAAGTAAAGTAAAAAATATAATGGACTCGAAAAAGAAAGCGATATAGCGTGTTATAATATTATGGGCCTGTCCCACCACTGGCTGATAAAGGCTCAGATAACCTAAAAATGACGACACTGTCGGATAAGGTAACAAAATCCGATATTTCCATCACATATCTTACATAGATTATTATCAGACAATTTACAATTTAATGGGACAGACCCTTTATGCACTAAAATTCGATATATAATCAATAAGTAACTGAATTCCTATATGTAAGAATAATATTTTGAATTAGAAGTATATTTGACTTACAAAATCTCTGCATGTCCACATCACAGTGTTGTACAAGATTCTGGTAGCTGACACATCCGTCTATGCTGGGTACATTGTTGCCCAACACTATCATAGATCCTGGTTCAGTCATATTACTTAGTACCATCTCTACTTCCGATTTGAGTATCTGTAAAAATGTTATTTAAAACTTTATTAAAAACATCACTAAAAAAGTATAACATTTCTATGAGTTTTATTTTAGTGACACATTCATCATCACCTTACCTCATCATCATCCATATTATCACTATGCAAGTTCTTTGGATCACCCTTTATAACATGTAGCCGATAATATGTTGATATATGCTGCAACAAAGATAATTTTTCATCATTATAGATACATTTACAGGACACTATTGATTATTAAAAAATTATACTAATTTGTTGCAAGAAAACAAATTCAATTATCAACATTAGTTGTGTTTGACATCAGCGCCATCTATCTTAATGTGTGCAGAAAGATAGTCTTACAAAGGTAACATTTCAAGGCATAGTTTGGGGATATGAAATCTATGTATATTACTTGCATTATCTGCAAAATTACTTACTTTAGTGTCTGCCAGCATTAATATCCTATGCACATGAGGCTGGTCAGTTGTATCTGGTGATAAGCGGTTCAGACAATCTGGATACATCTCTGCCATGACAACACTGTTCTCACCACCCAATTTTTGTCTGTTTAGCTCCTTTATAGCCAACTCATCAAGTCGATCATAGATAGATATTGCAACTTTTGGCTTGACATCTGTAATTTTTATTTAAAATATTTTAATTATCTTAAAGGTAAGTATCTACATGGCATAAAAAAATATAACAAGTAGCCCAAAGTTCTACATCTTTGCCAAATTTCTGCAATATTCATTTAGTTTTTCCAGAGTTATGCAGTAAAAACAGTATGAAGCAAGATATAAAGCATAATCTAACATATTTGACATAAATTTTCATTGGTTATATAAAATTACCAAACAATAACTTACCTCAACATCTTAATTTATTAGTAAAGTGAGCATGTAAATTGAAGACAAAGATTAATCTTTAAGATCACTGTAAAAACTTAAGTCCTATAATAAAATAGTAATCATGTAATTGAACCACCCCATATTAACTTACCAAAATGTTGTAATGCAACAGTAATATCCACATCCTCACACCATGCTAGAGTCATCTGAAGAACTTGTAGTATAGAACACTGCAGCTTGAAGAAAAATGAACCTATTCTAATTGGTTGTCTTTTCCCACATCCCGCACAAACCCACTGCACTCTGTAATATGGAAACATAAGTAAAGGTAACTTATAAGGTGTTGTAGCAAACCTAAGATCTGCATCTCATTTAGAAAATACAATGCTTTGTTTGTTGAAAGATGAAGAAAAATATAATTGATAATCAAAAATTAAAGTTGAAGTATTTAGACATAAGTACCTGTCTATAACACGCGCAACTTTGCAAACTACATTGCAATCAGGATTGGATGATGGACATTTGACTGTATTCGGCAATAAACCGAATTGCTGGAGTCTTTCAACGATCTGATATTCTATGTTCTTCTCTACATTATCTTCGATAAAATCTTGATATAATTTATAGTTTCTGCAAAAATGTAATTATGTATAACGAAATCGAATTGACCAACTTATGAATGTTTATAATCATACCCTGGGCAGATCGTGAAAGGAAGAGAATCTGCAACTTTTGTATTTGCATGATACGTATTTTCATAAGTAGTTGAATCGGCTTCCATTGTGTAAAATGCGTTTTGTGCGTTAAATGAGTATTGAAACAACACTAGGCCATTTTTTTTTTATTCGTATCCTACAGAAAACATCAATCCATAGAAAAACAAATCTTTGATTAGAATACGACTTTTTTTTTTTAAGAAAAATGACAGTGACAGCGTTGACATTGACAGCCAACATTAAAAATCGATATACTACGTTTTACGTATATTACTTTCCATTTTAGTATTTTCATTACTTCTTCAATTTAATTTTTACACTCAATAAGTGATATTGAACTTTAATAAACAAAACAAAATAAAACACCTTACTGAACCTTTAAAATATTTTAATTTCTTTAAGACAAAAGAATTGACATTATTCGGAATTTCAGCGCTTTTAGCGCTTTCGTGAATTTAGCAAATGCGCGTTTTGCTACTTTACCACTTTGACACTTTGAAATTGGAATGCACAGTAGAGGAACGCATGTGTTTATTATTTTTGCTAAATACATTTTTCGCAGTATTATGTATTAAACTTGAAGTGATATTATAACTATATCGTCCAAAAGTGATTTATTTAGTAAATAAAACGTAAAATATTGGTGCTATTGGTGTATCTCATTAGATAAACAGGTAAGTGTTTTTTTTATGTTTTCATATTTTTTCATTGTTTTCATTTTAATTTCAATTTATTTTTTATTTTACGAAGCTCAGAATAAAACATAATTAACAGTGTTAAATTTTTGGCAAATATACTAAGTTTTATAAGTAGTTCTTGGAACTTCCCAAGTTTCGTTTATTCAGGTATTTATTGTGCTGTCTAATTCTAAACCAAAATTAGTCAAATCATAGATTAGATACTTTCAGCTCTTTCATACACTCACAGAGAACCGTTAATGAAAATCCAGATATCAACAACTTTATCCTTGATTGTAAAAAAAAAATCATTCTTTTAGAAATAAGGATCCTTGTAAACAAAGTTATAAGTGCCTAAGCATTTGTGACAATATGAATATTCTGTTAAGATAAGGAAAGTATTATTTTTATATTCTGGCATCTCGTACTACAGACTATAATATATGAAGCTTTGTAATTTAGTAAAGATTAAACTATAACAGAAACATGTTTAAATTTTTTGGTCAAATAGAGACTGCAGTATTGTCTCTTTCTCTAAAACTATGTTAAAATATTACCAGCATATTATAGCTTTTTAATTTCTCTTAAATTGTGTAATAATTCTCCTATGTAAGGAGTGTAACAAACCGGTGAATATTAACTTTCAGGATAACCTGTATGAAGGTTGTCCTTTCATAAATGAGTGAAATAAGGAAACCAGTTTGTAGATTATTAATGCAAAAGTTTAGATGGATGGGTGTATGTTTGTTAGAGTTTGTAGTCTAAACGGCTAAACCGATTTTGATGAAATTTGGTATAGATGAAGAGGATAGTTTGGAAGAACACATAGGGTACTCACTTTCGTTTTTTGTTAATTCCATGCTGACGGAGTCGAGGGCGAACGCTAGTTGTACGTAATATTTAGATTAGAAGGAAATTAAAACTAGTAAATAATATAATCTATGTCAACATGAAAGGAAATCAAATGCTATTGTATTTCCACAGATCAAAGAGAAAGTTGCAAACTGCATATTTATTAATTTTATATTTTATCTATCTTTGTAAAAAGTAGGTCGAATTGTACGTGAAATAACACTAAATTCGATATGTCGGAACGAGACATTTTGTAAATATACGGCGTGTAATGTCCGCGTAGCGTGCGTGATTAAGGGCAATAGTTCTGTGCGTGACGCAATGCGCTTATTTTTGGATGCAAAAGAACCTATTTTCCCGCAGTCGCGATTCGTAATGTAGCTGTCCGGTTCTGCTTAGTTTGGTCTTTTTTTAATTAAATTTCTTTCTAAAAATCTTACGAACTTCATTGGTACGGATTTTTTCCAACCGTCACCCTACTCTGTCTCCACGTGAGAATAAAACGTTTCATCTGTCCCACCTTTTAGTCCCACTATCACTAATAAGATGGATGGATGGAACTTTTATGAAATAAAATCAGTTCCAATCCAAAATCCAACCGTCCTCTCGTAGCAAAAGGCGAGATGGATGAAGTTTTTTATTCTCATCTGTCTCTACGTGAGAACAGAGCGGAGTTACGGTTGCGAAAAATCCATTGGTACTAATAATATGAGCACTTTAATTAATAATGTTTGAGATAAATTAATAATTCTTGTTGTTAAACATATTTAACTGCAAATTATTTATCGATCCTTGTCCTTTCAAAGTTATAAAAAGTCATATTTATTTGAGAAAATCTTTAAAGTTGTGTAAAATTTTCGCAAGTATCATTAAGTTTAATTTCGGTCGAAACGAAGACAAATTACTCAAACTTTATAAACTGAAGGAGGTCAAGGGACGAGTGTTGTTTCATTTCACTTACTTTCGACACTCGTCTAATCGGTAATTATCCATCACTGTAATGACAGATTTTTATTCTGTATATGTTTAATCTATCAAATAAAAGTGCAATTTAAGAACTTTACTGTAATTAAAAGCACTTTTAACCAAAGAGTCTCCATGAGAAACATTTCTATCCAGCATTCTTCGACTGTCCTACATTGTTAAATGTCTATTGTTACTGTATTTGGCTTAACTGCTGGCTAAACATGCTCGCGTGTTGGATGCGTGGGCATTTAATTACATGTTTAAACTAACAAGTAAATCGGTGACACACGGTTAATTTCTCTTTTGTTTCGAAATTTCCCGACCAGAAGAAGTTAAACCTATGAGTTTCCACACTAATCTCAGGTTAGGTAAATTTTATTTAATTTCAAAACGCGGACTTTTAGTTCTTACTCGTGGATAAAACATTTTAATCTAGATTGTTAACGTTTTCAGGTCTTTAACTTTAAATACTTCTATAGAGTTTCAGACTTTAATATATATTTTATATCCAAAATATAAATAACTTTTATGTTAACACGACTTGTCAAATGTTTATAACAGTTATTTAGCGCAGTTATTTCTATTGATAGCTGGCTTCATCGCCGGAAACATCTCGTTCAAAGCGAATTTTTGCTGTTTGATAGTTGACAGCGAGATTCCATTAACCTATCTTGTTAAAGCCTTTTATACTGAAGTTAAATCAATACACGTTACTATTTAGCATCGATACTATGATGTTTTTTTTTAATTATAAAAATTGTTCATGATTACTCTGTAACACGATGTCGGACCGTATTATTTTAATACTAACTTTCGCCCGCGACTTCGTCTGAGTGGAATTTAAAAAAAAACAGAAGACAGTAGCCTACGTGTTCTTCCAGACTATCCCCTACAATTGTGCCAAATTTCATCGAAATCCGTTCAGCCGTTTAGGCTACAAACTCTAACAAACATTCATTCATCTATCAAACAAGATTTAGGATATTAGCTCAATTCGATTGTTATCAATAAGTTGCATAAAAAACACTCTACAAGATTCAACTAAAATATTTGCAATCAAGAAATAGAAATATAAAACGCGACGTTTGCCTTAATTTTACGTGGCAGGAATTCGTTGACATTTTCTCGGTGCCACATTTCTCCCTCTCGTCTTACAATTCTGCCGTTTGACCTGCTTTTATAGCTTAATATTTCAAGCTAAGTAAACGGCTTCAATGTAATGCGAATGTATTATCTTATTATGATAAACCTTACAAAATTATATTAACACTGTCGCTTTAATATAAGTTCTCATATAAATATCGAATATTTGATTCCCACATTTCGTTGATGTATTTTTTGACTTAGCAAAGATCAATCAACTCAGATGCGTACACTTGCAGCTTAGTAATTGACTGTATAGATGATTGATGATCATGCGCTCCATAGTAAAACCTACACTGTATGTTCCAATCTAAAATATTGAATACAGAAAATATGTTTAAAAGGTTTAAAGGTGTATTAGAGTCAGCGACGAAAGCCGCTGGCAAATATTAAACCAAATCATAAGTTTAATTAAATCCCACGTGTATGAGATAAGGCTAAGTATGAAGACATCTGTATCATCGTAGGAAGTACACCTACTCATAGTGTTCGGATTTTTCGACTGCATTTACAATAGTTAGTGCCAACCCTACTGCCGTAGTTAGAATGTTCAGTAAACCAGAATGCTCTAATGTTAGTATGAAGGCTCTTATTTGGCAACCCTAGGTGGGATTATTAGCAGCATTAGAGCCTCTGCACCTATAATGCAATCTATGAACGTTGGGGCTTTGATTTATGTACTACTAGCATTCGGCCGCGACTCCGTCCGCGTGAATTAAAAAGCACTAGTAGCCTATGTGTTCCTTCAAACTATCTGTACCAAATTTCATCAAAATCTGTTTAGCTGATTAGGCTACAAACTAACAACCATCCATCTAAACTTTAGCATTTATAATGTTAGTAAGATAGCCTTACTTTTTGATATTTTCCCGACGAAAAATGGTTAAAGTTATTTTGTGTATGTTCAAGATATGACAAATTTTAGGAGAATGTACCACGTTGCACGTCAATGGCCAAACAAATATGCACTGTCGGTCGGCTGACTTTGTACTAAATTAAATTCCCTATAAGCAAATAGTTTCGAACTATTTGGTTTAAAATGTTCAACACGGCAGACAAACTATATAACTTCAAATATTAAAATGATAAGTTCATTAATTACACTATCCATTTCTGTTATAATAGTTTTCCTCTGGCTTTATTTTTCTCTACAATATTGTAAAATGTGGTAGCAAAAAACTACGTGTTAATCTCAGCTGGTCTGCTCTTTGCGGTTAAATTAATCTCGGCTTCGTTAGAAACGTACTAGTCATGTGTTTAACGTACATGTAAACAACTGAACATCAGATATACAGGCTGCCGGAAGTATCGCGTCACTGGATCGCATTATGTCTATGTCGGATCTGCAGCTCAGATCAGCTTATTCAAAATTACACTCAATCTTCCGAAAACAATATGAAAAAACCTTATAAAGATCTCCTTTTTAAATAATCTCGAAAAGAATGATGAAATCATAAAAATGCCGTATTTAAAAAACTTGAAACATCGCGAAGATGTTTCTGTCATCATATCAATATAAAAACATTTTAATGTTACTATTTTAGACTATTTTATCAC